TTTGCAGGCTTTGTCTCTGCTTTACACATGACCAAAATGAAGACAAGGCATTGGAGGGGGCAAAGGTGTTTTGTCCCACCACGTTTTGCTGACCCCATGAGCATAAGGACAGTCCTGGCGAGCCCTTTGGCCAAGGAGCAGCTGGCTCATTTTTCCTGAGGCTACTTGGGAAGGGGGGTTGTGCTTGCCTTCACCTGTGGGAAGTTTGTGTGCCCCATGACAGTGTTAATCAGCTGGGGCATAAATCATTCAACAAAACCCACTGCCACCCCGGGGGCTTCTCGTAACATCCTCTCAAAGCTATCTTTTTGTCTCCCAAGTCCTTCCTATCCCAGATGGTTTCAAGCATTGCTCTTTTCTCTGCCCCCAGCCACCTGCCAAGAGGCAGCAGGTCCCTCAGTTACAAGGCCATGCCTGGACTTCCTGCAAACCCATGTCATGGAGAGGTTGCCAAAGGTGCATAGACACACACCTGTGCTGCAGATAAAGCAGGATCAAGCACTGAGGGCTTGCTGAGCTGGTCTGTAGCACTCAGCTGCTTTACCATTTACCTCTGTGGCCATGCAAGTTTTTGTGTGGATGCAGAGATCTGATGTTACTTCCCGTAGTCTATAATCCCTATGGACTGAGGTGAGCACCTGTCTCCTGTAGCAGCTAACCTGTCTTACAGAGCATTCTGTTCACAGGAGTCACCTCTGAAAGGCCTCCAGCATCAGAGTTAGTCCTGCTCTGCACAGAATGAATGGAATTTTGCCCATTGATTCTTCATTTGCATGTGCTAGGACTCTGCTCTCTAGCATCAGGAATAGTCTGAGTAAGTCTAGAAACCTGTAGCAGCTCCAGGAAGCACAAGACATTATTTTTGCCTGTACATTTATCCTCCTCATTTTTTCTCCACTTTATTGCTGGAGCCTGGTTTCTTTCCTCACTCAGAGAAAGCCAGCCCAGCACCAAGGAGAGCCAGTTTTACTGGGCTTGGAGTGTTCCTGCTCCACCAAAGGTTTTTGCTGTGAGACTTTGAGTGGGTAGAAGGATAATTTCTCACTGGCAATATAGAGCTCAACTACTGCTGCAGCAGCCTAAAGCCCATCTGGGCAGAGACAGCAAGTCCCTAAATTCACATTCAAACTTTTGGGGAAGACCCTAATCTCAGGCTTCTGCACTTCTGTCTGGTCAAGTGGCTATTGCACACATGCCTTGCCTCACCATGTCTTTTGTTCTAGCCACTTTCTTTTCCTAGTTTTCCAGAGTTTACAAAGGGCCTTCCTATTTGCCTGCACTGGCTGGCATTGCCCCAGCGAGCTACAGCCAAACACAGCATAAACACTCAGCTGTCTCACACCTTCTCTGGGAGGGAGACACATGGCAACAAAAGGCTGAGATTTCGAGGGCTCACATTTAACCCAAATGCCTTCTGCCTTTTATCCTGCCTGATTAGTGCATCTCCACTGCTTCTCTTCTTTGGTCTGATGGAAATTCCCAACAGCATTTCCAAAAACATTTCGGAGCCCTGTCAGACTAAAGAGTGAAATTAACTCCTGTTCTCAACAGAGAATTACACTGAAAACAAACAAAAACCAGTATATCCAGGGATCAAGCAAATAAATTGTAATATCAATGTAACTTTATTTAGATTTAATTTGACATTTAGCACAGTAATAAGCACAGAAAGAAAAAAGTACCAAAATACCAAACTCATAGCATATAAAATAACCAAATATATTTCATATTTAGTGAAATATTTCTACAACACATCAGTAGGACTGACCTGGACAGCCCAACCCTGTAAATACATACATATATATATAGCTGTGTTTTATAAAATATTGTATGTAGAGAAAGCACTGAAACTTATCACCAAAATAGAAAATAGCTCAAAATACAGATAGTTCGGATTTTCTAGACATACCCAATATTGAAAAGAGGTTCAAACTCACTGCAGGAGATAAAGCTCCAACTCAGATGCCCCGGCAGGTGAGTGGGCACAGACTGGTTAAAGATGGCAGGAGCCTGGCTGGTGGGATGGGCTCCAGGTCTGAGCCATGAGGTGACAAGAGTTACTGGTCCTCACCCAGGACCATCAAGACACTTCCTAAGTGGGAATGTCAGCGGCGCTGTCAGTACTTGCAGCTGATGCTCCACCCGGTGGGATCCCTGGGCACGTGGTGCATCCATGGATGCAGGGAGGGCTAGGGGCAGGAGCAGCTTGGATCCTGCAGGAGCCCCCCAGCCTAGCCAAGCCACCCTGCAGCCTGTGCCCGCCAGGGCCAAAGGGCTTTTGCTAAGGAAGAGCTGCTGGAGCAGCACTCTCGCTCCTACGGCACAGAGGGACCAGCTGACAGCGGATGCACAACATCACAGAGACATTATTCTGATTTTTAAAGGTGCCTCTTCAGCAGATGACAAAGATTAATTATTAGCTTTTAAAAATCTAGAAAGCTGCTTTTGTGCGAGGCCAGGCCCCCCCCCCCCAGGCAATGCCATAGGTTTGTTTGTTCTGGTCTGCAAGCAAACGAAGTAGCAACCCTGCTGCTACAGGACAGTAACCAAATGAAACGCTTGTCTTGGCAAAGACTCCCTCCTCACCCTGAGGGTAATCCAGGTTGGTGTCATACCTAAAATCCCAGGCAATTTGTAGATAGATATAAAAAATACGGCATGTCTGGCAGCAGCACTTAAGTGCAACAGGAGGTGATAACCCACACTAGCGCACAGCCTGGCTGCTGTGGGTGCTTCAGGCTGGGTGCTGGGCAGGCAGAGGCACCAGTCCTGGTGGCAGGGGAGAACCAAGGGCAGGTTGGGGCCATCTGGGTCCTGATGTACCATTGAGGCTCTGTATCTGATGCTTTCCAGACAACATATTTTTGTGCTTGTTTGGTGCTTTTTCACTCAATACAATGATTAATTTTTTTTTACTACCCCCACAGGAAGACAGCCAAGGCTTGCCTGGAGGATCCCTCCTCAGTGGGTTTTGAGCCCTATGCCAACCCCACAGTGAGCTGGGGGCTGTGGAAGATCACCCTGGGAGCCCTCCCAAACCCTGTTTCTGTGCTTCTGCCACACCACTGCAGAGAACTCTCTAACCCATTAATAATTCTGCAATTGCTCTTTCTCATCAAGCCAGCAGTTGCATCCTTAATTACATGGCAACAATACTATGCTAACAGGATGAGCTGTAATTCCTAGGTGGTATTAACATTGTTATTTTGCTCTGAGTAACTTCCTGGTAATGGCCATTTGAATGTGGCAATATCAATTAAGTGAATATAAATGCTTAGTTCCTGGAAAAATCATTAATAAAAATCTCATTTTGATAGCCTCTAATGACAGCTAAATATAATTACTCATACGAGGCCACTATAAAAAGTATTTTTCTCATCAGAAGAAATTCATAAGGTTTTCCCAACTGTTTGTAATAAAGAGGACAGGTTATAGAAAAGTCCAGAAAATAAGCACACGTTTGTTTCTCAAAAAACATAGATAAACATGACAATATCTCTAAATTACTGGCTACAAACAGGATTTCATTTAGCTCTACTCAAGCTGTAGCCTAGTATAAATGTTGTCAAAGCAGCGCGCTGCTGTTTCATCTGGAACAGCTGCACAGGATTTCTTTGATGTCAAGCTCTTGTGTGTGGATGCTGTTTCAATTTCTCTTTACGCCTCCAAACTGCTGGAACAGGAGGGAGAAGACACTCAATAAAACAGGCATTTTTCATGAAAGATAAAAAAAAAGGTAGCATAATTTGCCCTTGAATGCAGTACTAAGAAATAATTTATCACTGCAGTGGCGACAGAACTCGACTGCATCTCTCGCATCCCTATTTCAAAGGAGACGGGGAAAATACCCAGTGGTTTTGCATGGTTCCCCCACAGTGCTGTACCTGGCATTCCCTGGGATCACACACTGCCAGCTCTCCTGGCCATTGGCTGTCCTGGGCATGCAGCAGGTGTACGTGTGCTCTCTTCCTGACTCCCTGTGCTAGTCCGTACATCCCTCAGGCACTCCCCGAGGACCATAAATACAATTAGCTGAGGAAGGTGTGCTCCTTCCCCGCTCCCACCCAGGCTCCTTGAGCTCAGTGGTGTCCAGCACAGCAGGCTGGAGCTGCACCGGGGCTGCAGGACATCCAAAATGACTGTGGCTGGTCGTGACAGGCAGCTAAAGAAGATGCTGACCTGCAACACCTGCCAAAGATGCTTTCTTAAGCAGTGAGGAAACGTTTTTTTGGGTTGCTCATCACTCAGCAACCACAAGTGCTGCCTGGGAAGGCACATTAAGTGCAAATCCCCCTCTCAGACACTCGGTGCCTGCCGGTTTCTTAAGTCAGAGGCAGGAACCAGTGATACATCTCTTATCCACAGCGCTCAGAGAGAAGGAGCCTCATGCTGTGCCTGGAAGGACAGGGTTTGCCCTGCCTGCTGCCTGCTTGCCTGCAGATCCAGGCACCACAGCTACACACATTTAGGAGGTATAGCATATATTTATCTTTTTGGGGGGAGATAAGGCTGAAAAAGTCCGGGACACCGGGAACAGCTGGCAGGAGGGCAGCTGGGGCAATGCGGGGAGAAGTGGCAACACCATTATCTCCAGGCAGGATCTCTCTCTCAAACATTGATGTGGGTTTACCAGCCTTGTTCTATAAATATTTTCCAGAAAAAGGTTTGTTTGGGAACAATGTCAAAGCAGAACTCAAGGAGTCTTCCAAGTGACCTCCAAAAAGTACGCTTCCTAAGGCATTTCCCTCTGCGTGTCTTTTCAGACGCTCACTTTGATGTGCAATGTTTACCAGAAAAAAAGCAGCAAAAGTTGACAAATGCTGCTGAAAAAGCCAGGGACTCCATTTCAAAACTAAATGAGTTGATGAAACAATTTCTGCCAGGGTCAGTGAGCTCTCTGTCTCCTGCAGCAGTGATCTGGGGGTTTCTGCATGCCCCTACTGGGGGGCACTGAGCCATCAGGCTCAGGGATGCACATGCAGCTCACCTCCCCAGCCAACTTACTGCTCTCCTGCCACAGCGCTGTCACTGCCCACAAATGGGATTTCTTCCCTGTCCGTCTTCCCCAGAACAAGGTGGTGCTTCTCCATGTTTATGACACACTGTAGAGAATAAATGCCTTTAGGTAAGAGGGAAAACCGCAATTCATAGTGGTCCCAGCTCCCCCACCAGCATGGGTAAGCACCCCGCTGGAAAACCCCTACCTTCAGAGACTTCAGTGTCTGCAGCCCAAAGGAGAAGGGTTTCTCATTGTCTTCTGAAAAAACATGACTATTCAGATTTATACATTCAAAATGCCCTCCTACGCTTTTTGTCAGTGACTCCATCCTTCCTTCATGGCTGCTCTGCTAAATAAAACCCTGTTTGTAAAGGGACTGAGTGACTCCAGAGGAGAAGATGATCAGAGAAGGGCAGGCAGATGCACCTACAGGGAGGTGCAGTGGTTGCTCCACTGGCGTGGCAGAGCAGAAGCCAAGCCTGGTGCCTCCAGCACAGCCCTGCTGGACACATCCTCCCTCCCTCCCGTTGAAGGGCCAAGCAGGGACTTTCTTTATTTTAGTTTTAACGTCTTTCTAAAACTTCATTTTTGCTGCTGGGGTAAGAGGGAGTAGAACCCCAGCCCATACCCAGAGGAACACACACACACACACACACACACACTCACCCACGACGAGGGCAGTGCACTCCACGGGAACCGCTCCCACCGTGAGGGCGAGACACTCGACCTGGCCGATGGCTTTCACCTTGTTCGGCAACGAAGCCATCTCGTCTTCGGCAGGGAGAGCTCTGAGATGCTCCTTTAACCTGTGCATTGAAAACACTTCTAACATCAAACAGCCACGGTTTGGCTGCTCCAGCAGGGAGCAAACAGTGTTTGGAGGGTACTTACACTGAAGTGCTCTTAGCTCGCTCATGTTACCAAGCTGTTATTGGAAAGCTGCTTCCCTGGCAGGTTGTCTGTGGATCCCTGCAGGCAGCCAGCAGCCCACACTCATAGACCATAGCACAACCCACAATGCCACTCTGGGGCTGCCCCAAGCACAGCTCTGTACTGGATTTTGGTTTTTACCTGAGGAATCTTTTTCCTACATTTCCTCAAGACTTTGGGAAGCTGTTGACATAAAATTGCTCCTAACGCAGTGTGGATGTAAGGAAGGGATAGTCCACTCCAGTTTCCACCAGTGGAGCTGACGACACCAACACTGTGTCCCCATGGAATCATAGAAATGTTAATGTTGGAACAGACCTCTAAGGTCATCAAGTCCAGCTGTCTACCCAGCATTGCCAAGCTCACTACTAAACCATGTCCCCAAGTGCCACATCCACACACTTTTTGAACACTTCCGTGGATGGAGATCACATCACTTCCTTGAGCAGCTTGTTCCAAGGCCTGACCATCCTTTCAGTGAAGAAATTTTTCCTAATATCCAAACTAAATCTCCCATGGCACAATTTGAGGCCATTTCCTCTGGTCCTGTCACTTGTTACCAGTGAGAAGAAACCAACTCCCACCTCACTAAAACCTCCTTTCAGGTAGTTGTAGAGAGTGATAAGGTGCCCCCTGAGCCTCCTTTGCCCCAGGCTAAACAACATGGCTCACAGCTGGGGCAACACACCCAATACACTTTTGTTAGTTTGTTAGGTGCTGCTGCTGGCTTTGTTCAGAGGAAATGGGGACAGATCAATCACATTCAGCCCAAGGAAAGGAAAAATGGATGTCAGAAATACCTCAGGTACAGTTTTCTCTTCTATCTACACCCTGGGAACCAGTCTGACAATACTGATTAATTATTTAGCTTCAGTTTCTCTTTTAAACTGAACAAGAATCTGATGGAAAGGCAGTTTGAGGCGCTGATGTCTCTCTCAGATAAAAGCCGTATCACTTTTCAGCTATTTGAGGTGCCTTTCTGCTGAGCCGCATTGCAGCACTGAGAGTGTGTGTGTGTATGTGTGTCTGTCTGTCCTGGGGGGACCAGCCCCCTCAGAGGCAGAAGCCCCAGGACAGAGGTGGGCATTGCCCACACCATTTGGCACAGGTACAGGGACTGGGAGAGGTAGCAGGGAGAAGGAGCTGAATCCTCTCTGCTGCTTTTTTGGGGACTGGCTTTTAAAATCAGTGGGAAAATATCAATGAGAAGTTTATGAGATCCTTGGCCTCCTCCTGTACCTACAGGGGATTTCTCACACTGTGGCAACCCGTGAGCTTATTCCACTCTCTCCCAAGGGAGAGACCTTGAGCGGCATCATGACAAGATGCAAAAAGGTTTTTGAAAGAGAAAGGAAGAACTGAGCCTGATCCTCAGACACCTACACGCTGCATTGAGGTGCTGAGTCCCCAGAGACCTGGGCAGCTGAGCCCATCCCCAGAGCTGCAGAGCCCCAGCTGCAGGCAGCAGCACACAGCAAAGCACACAGCAGGGCCTCTTCCTTCCCCTAAATGCAAAATCACCCAGCATGCCTCTTTCCTGCTGCTTTCCAGGGCTGGATTTAAACAAAACTCATGTTTTATCCTTGCCACTGGACTGCTTTGAAGTAGAACGTGCTGGAGCAGTGCCTGTTGTCGCACAGAACCTACCACAGTGACGGCAGAGCGAGCCAGGCATCAAAGCCCTGGTTTTAACCCACTTTGCTAATCTGGCTTTAGCCTCTGTCCCCAAAACCACAGACAGCAAAAGATCTGAAGGCAGCTGCCTGTGAGGTAGCCCTGCCTGCTGTGTGCCCTGGCTGGCAGCCCATTTGGGATGGGTGTCCCTCTGCCTGCACACGCAGTGGGTCTCCGGCACACACACTGGTGTCCCTGGGGTCCCAGCCTGCAGGAACCACAGCTTACTCATCACTGAGGAGTAACACCAGGGAGGGACATGGGCCTTGTAACTGCAGCTGCCTGGCTGATTGCTACAAGAGTGATCTCGCTCAGATCAGGAGGGAATCCCCAAAACCAGAGAGCAGAAAACAGGGTATAACCTGTTTCTTCAGCAGTCTTTGAAGGGCAGCTCTGCTGCAGCAGACCAGTGCTGCAAGAACTACACTGGCCACACATAAGTAACACAGGGAGCAGATGAACTGTCACAGAGCATCACTGTGAGACTTAGAGGAGTAGAGCAGCCAGTACAGCATCTTGCTGTACTGAGAACCCCTCCAAATGCACTGTGACCATCCCTAAGCTTGGCTGAGCTGCTCCACAGATTGTGACAAGGTTGCAGGAAGTACAGCCACCTTCCAGCCACTAAACTGCAAATAAGTAATTAACGTTGGCACCACTCATTCAGGGCCATGCAGTAGTGCTCAGGGAGCAGGTACAATTGTTTTTTGCATAATCGCTGCAAGTTAGCTACAAAAAGCAATGACTCCATGGCAATAAAGTGCCAAAATCAGCTTGATACCCTGTGAGCTGATGCCTGATTCTGCTCCTCAGAGATCAGAGAGAGTTTTGTTGCAAATGGCTGGCAGTCACCTCCCTAACACTCCATAAATATATTTCATTTGCTTTTAACCCCGAAAAATTTGTTGTTGGGATCAGCATCAGACACCAAATTCCGAACACATTCATCCACACAGCTCCTTTACACCGGGTGCTGGGGCCAGCAGTGCTGCAGCCACCAGTGGGACCATGGGCAGCAGCCAGGTCCCTGCCTTGACACAGGGACCTGCAAAGCTGCAGCCCCACACCTGCCCCAGGGACTTAGAAGGCTGAGGGAGGTTCAGCTATTTCGTGAGGCACTGAATGACAAACAGGCTGAAAGAAACAAACTGAAAAAACACAGATGCATCCAACCCTCTGAAGGGATTCCCTCCCTGCCATTTAAGACTGGGCTAGAATTTGGTTGTAACAGGAGGCTCAGGGGCTTGCCCAGGCACAGCCCAAAGCACTCTCTTCCAGAACAGTCATCACTGGGGTGAGCAAAGCCTCAGCCCCAGGAGCATTCCCTGTGCTGCCAGGTGCCATGTTCCCACAACACAGAAATCCAGCTGGATACTTACCCTAACCTGTCCAGGCAGGCAGACGACATGAGGTTGTGTTGTGAGCCAGTGTCCACCACAGCCTTCAGCTCCTGCCCTGCACACTGCAATAGCAAGAAGAGATGGGAGATGATGTGTGGAGTGCAGGATGAGTGCAGGGTGTCCAAGGTCTCCATTCTGCACACACCAGTCCCCATCAAATCTCCTCATGCCAGGCCATCCCTTCTGCACTGCACACTTAGATGTGTGCTGGGTCCTGAGCTCTCCCGGGGCCTTTTACCCCTGCAGAGAGCAGAAAGAGCAGCCCCAGGAAGGGGGAGATATTGCAGAGAGTGGGAAATACAAAAAAGCATGGGGATAAGAAGGAGAAATGTGAAATTACCCTTGGGTAAGAAAAAAGGGATGGCACTTGAGGAAAACAAATAGGCTATGAACACAGGGATTTGCCATGGATAATTATGCCTCAGTATTTCAGCATGCTGCCCCACCCTAGCTACCCTCTCCACCCTGATGTGTGAGGGAAGACATTCATCAGATCAGTTTGTTCTGTGGTATCAGGTGGCTGTCTCTGCCACAACAGCCCAGAGCTGCAGAGATAATGCATCCCCACAGCTGTGACAGTCCCGAGGGAGCACAACCTTAACCAGGAAACATGGAGAACAAGAGCACAGCTTGAGGGTGTCAGAAATAAAAGTTGTGGGAAAAACCCCCAAAAGACTGGGGATGGACTATTACCTGGCAGCTCACTATTATGAGCTCTTCATCCTCCGTTTTTTCTGAGCTTCCCAGTTTGGTTTGATTCAGCTTGTTGGTCTGTGGTGGGATATCACCCTTCGGAGACCAGCAGCCTCGGCTGCTTCGTAACTTTGATAAGTTTGTCTCCATCAGGCGTTTCTGCAGGATATTATGTGGTTGCTTTAAGAGAACACACACAGAAGAGCAGAGTGAAGTCAGAGGAAAGCCACAGTGACCTGCGTCACCAGCCTGCCTGTGGTGCCCACGGGCCAGCACTGCTCTCACAGGAGGGATGCCCTAAAGTGTCACTCTCCCTGATTCCTAGACTACAAGTACTCTTCCTAGACATCTCTAGCTTACCTGGCTTGGACTAAAGAGAACTGTTTTTTATTGTGCAGGGAATAATACTTCCAAAATATTAACCAGAATTTGGAGGGATGCCTTTTTTTCCAAACTCAAGTTCAAGATTTGATTGCATATAGGAATCAAAACAAGTCCAGCTTTTTCAAGTTAGTGTTTCAGCCATAATTGCCTCCATCTCTTGATAAGGATGTTGGGAATTCTGTAGTGATGTGAAAAATGAAGATGTAACAAATTACCTTTCCAATTAAATTCACCAGCTAATTATGAAGAAGATCTATGACCTGGTCTAAAATTGCCCTATGTATTTCTTTGCTACGTTTTAGCTGCTAAGGGTAAGTGGGACCAATCCTGAGGGGCATGCCAGCAGAGAACAGTGAGAGGAAGAGAAGGGGTAAGCTAGTCTGAGGTAGGTAGCTAGGCAGGTATTCTCCCAGGAACACCCAGCTTCATGCAGCAGCTTCTTGCTTTCTCTGTCATTTCCATTTGCTCTGCAAGAAGCATGCTGCCTCTCAAAATCTCCTCCAACCGCTTTCCCAAAAGCCTTTTTATGTTTAATGTTTGCCACAGATGGATGCACATACTCTGCTGGAGGTGAAATTACTCTGCTTGATTATCTGCTCATTTCTCTGCCCTGCTAATCTGCCCTCCCCATTACTCCTTTCCTTTGGATTTTAATTTGTCCACAGTGAGACATTCTTAATGGCTTATTCCTGAATTTTTGCATTCAAATTAAATATGCCTGTGTGTCTGCAGAGACATCTGAACAAGCAAACCTCCTCATCCCAGGAGAATTTCAGATTCAGGATAACTTTGAAAACCTGGGGCCATGGCTCCCTTAGCTGGCCAGCGCACACCCTTGTGCACAGCATCTTGTCTGTGCAGCATGTTAAATAACAGCACTTAGACAAGTCTAATGCAACCTGGCATCATCCTAAAATAACTGCAGCCATGTTAGCGCTTCAGATCCTGCTCTAGGCACAACATGGGTGGTTACACTGGACCTGACTGATGAGGTTGGGCAGATACATCCAGCACCAGTGGTCACCGGGACATGTCATCTCCTTTTGCCCCCAGTTTTTGCTGTCCTTATTTCTGCGTGCAACCTGTGACTTGAAATTAAACTCCATGACCATTTTGGGCTGCAGGTGCTGTGTCTGACCACCACGACAGAGAGCATGTCCTGTGTGCAGGCAATAACACAGCCACTGTCATGGTGGGGAGGAATCAGACCTGACATTGTGCTGCCTCCTTCATGCTCTGCTCCAGTGACCACCAGCCTTCCCAGTGAGACCGAACAGCAGGAACCAGTGATGCTTAACTAGATTAAAGGCAGGCAGACTGGCTGGACTATCCCTGTGTGCAGGGGCAAGCAAATCAGTTTGGAAGCGAGGACTCCCTTATATGAGGCAGAAGTCGAGATGCACAGTCAGCGCTGTGATCACCTCCAATGCTCCGCATCCGAGCGAAAATGCAAGCCAAGGCTTGCTGACAGTGGATGGGATGTCCTTCTTACCCTTTGTGTATGCCTGCAGCTCAGGAATACATTTGGAGGATTAATTCTTCACATCGTTAAAAAAAAAAAAAAAAAAGTGAAAAAAGAAGGGATATTGGACTGTAAAAGTAGATGGGTGAAGTTCACCCAGCTTTGACCCAGCTGGCCAAAAGACAGCTTGTCATACACTGGCCAATTCCTCATGCTCAGCCCCATTCAGCCAGGACCAAGAGAAATTTCTGAATGGCATCATCCAGGACAGTCTGGTTACTCTTCTGATCTGTCTGGCCTCAATCACCAGCACACTCCTCATTGCTCCCTTAACTGTCATCTACCCTTGAACTAAACCTAAATTTTTTTAACTACAAGTTCTCCTATGGATTGCTAACTAGTAACATACATGGGTTTTCTGAGACCCTGGTTTTAGGAATCCTATGTGGGATCCATTACCAAAAGGAAAAAGTTCATTACTTAGTGAAGATGAGTTACCATCACAAACAGGATTGTCTTTTGCTGACACTTGCTCTTCTGAAAATCACAGCAAATTCTGCCTGTGGGGAGACAAATGCTCCTTACATTGTGCTCCAGTACAGAAATAATCTAGCAAGAGGGGGCTGAAAACGCTCCCTACAGCACCATCCTGTCTCAGGCTATTAATTAGTTTGCTTTAACTTGTGTTTCCCTCGACTCTTGTGCAACAGAGTGAGGGATGTTAGTCATGGAAATGACTCAAGTGATGGACACATACTTGGTAAACAGATAACGTGTCAGGGAACATTTGCAAATGCACATTTTGCTGGCAAACTGCAAGTGGACCATGTCTGGGAGGGAGGGAGAGGAGAAAAACCTCCCTGTGACAGCAGTGGAGAAGGCAGCTGTGTTCTCCCTCCAGTGAGGGCCAGCCACAGAACCAGGAACAGTATTTGAAGTAACTCAGACTATCTGGTACTGTATTCGCGTGCTTTGCACAAACCTGGTGAATGTTTTATAAAATGTTACATTTCATTGTGCCAGTGCAAAAATATTTCCTAGTATCATTCAGCACCACATAAATACAAACCAGAATTTTTTTCTTATCTCCCTTTCCAACTCAGACTTTGCAAAAACCTGTAATCCCCTAAAAATGTCAAAGTAGAAACCCAAAGAAGCAAGTGGAGACACAGCTTTTGCTTAACCTATTTACCACTGTCTGTCAAAAATACAAATAATTCTGCCCAGTTTTGTTTCTCTCTGATGTATAAGCAAGTGCATTGCTGCAGTTTGCAATCTCTCTCTCTCTCTCTCTGGCAGTTTTCCCACTATTTTGGCTTCTAGATCTGGGGATAACAAGACCCATCAACAACAGTTTCACTAGGTGCAGATGAAAGTCAGGGAACATGCTGGCTCTTCCCCACCCCAAACCCATCTCAAGGGGTTTGCCTTCTCTTCTGTACCTAAACAGTAGGGGGGAAAAAAAGGGGGGTTAATGCACCAATGGAGCTAAGCCCAAGAAATAACCAATTTCTCTCTCTCCTTCCCATCCTTCATCCAAATACGTCTTCTACCAGCATCCTGTGCTCGTGTGCTGTCAGTCCCACTCACAGGGGGATAAGAGATGGGATAATAGCTGCCCCCTGCACCCCTGGGTGCCCAGACAGCAGCCAGGTCTCTGAGCAAGACAGTGCATGTATCATCAAAGATTTTTGCATTTCAACCAAGACACAGCAAATCCAGGGACGTGGGAAAAGTGGGGACAACTGAATGCACAGCAATTAACAGCAGTGTTGCAACCACCTACAGAGGCCAGTGCCATGGGGACACCCAGAGTTGTCCTGATGGTGCCCAGGGGAGGCTCTGAGGGCATGCTGGAAGGGGGAAATGCTTTTTGTTGTTGTCATTGCTATTTATAACTTTGTTTCCCAGCTTGTGACGAGATGCGGGACTGTTTCAACTAACGCCCCTTCAAACTGGTTCGGCAGCTCTCGAGGTGAAGGAGAAGTGTCAGAGCACCAGGAGGAGCTGCCAACAGCCAGCACACCCTGTCCAAGTTGGGAAGGGGGTCACGGTTACCATGTCAGGAAGCCCACATCCCAGCTAAGGACCATATCGTGCCAGTTTTCTGGGCTTCAGGGAAGAGGCTAATAGGCACCAAAACAAAACTATTTCTACTCTGTATATCCAGCCCTACATTTGCCAAATTCAATGTAGGCTATGCTATGTTGTAGTTTGGTCTTACACTAGGCAGAGTGAAGTATGTAAAGGGAGGAAGGAGCTAGAATTCGATCTGAGCCAGAGTAATACACTGACAATTATCATAAGCTTAACACAGATCATTACAAGTATTTATCAAACCTGCCTGTACATGGTATCACCAGGAGAGATGCTTCAGGAGCTGAGTAAAACTGGGAGATGCCAGTGCACCCACCCTGGTGACCTGCTGCTCCTTTGCTGTGCACAGTACCCCCTGCTCTATGGCCAAAAGGAAGGGGATTTCTCCCCAAAATCAGAGTGTTTGCTGCCAGCTCCCACCCTGACAGACAGGATCTGTTTTCACCACCTGTCCCCGTCTCTGGGGAGCTGTTACCTCCTCTCTTCTCCAGGGCTGCTGGAAAACCCCATTGGAAACCCTGCATTAATAACGCCGGTCACGTCAGAAGCCCCTCTGCCCACGTCACCACAGTTGTCACGCAGCCTCAGGCATGAGAACGTGCTGCTTTGTGAGGAGGTGTGCAGTTATTCACAAGAAAGGCGTGCAAATGCCTTAGGCAAAGACCTCTGATGCCCTGAGCCTCCTGACCACGCAGCTCAGCCCCTCTGGACGCAGACCTCTCAATTTGGGGCCATGTCAAGGTAGGGGCCCAATTTTAGAGGTGCTTCTGCAGGCTCAGAGATAACAATTTCCTGCTCCTCCCAGGGACAACTCTTGTGACATCCAGGCAGCTGTTATAGCTGGAGATACACGGTGGGTCCACCCCAGATGTGTGTGGTGTGAGCGTGGTGGTGCCCACAGCATCACTTCGCTGTGACATGACCTGCTGCAACATCCTGGAAATTCATGGTGTCTTCTCCGGTGCTGTGGGAAGGGGCCTGGGCATCTGCCAGTGCTGTCACTTTGGGGACTCCCCACACAGCCCACGGGGGTCCCTGTGGCCAAGGGAGCCCTGGCCACATGTGCACACTGTCCCATTAGCCCCTGCTGTGGCCTGGGGACAAGGGGGTTTTTGCGTTGGGTTGGCCCATACCAGCTCAGTTCCCACCCCATCCCGAGCCAGAGACCCAGCACAGCCAGGGTAGCCAGGATGGGCAGTGCCATGCCGCACCTTCTTTCTTCCTTGGAGCTATGGACCTCCCCAAGACTTTGCAATATCCCTGGAGAGAGCCCCCCACATGGACCCTTCTTGCAGGAGCTGTGGGTGCAGCAGGGGTGATGCTGCAGCCATGGCTCAGCCAGTGTGGGCACAGGAGCAGGGAGCAAACCTCGGATGACGTTTCTGTAACCAAGGTGGTGGTAAGGAGCCCCATGCTCTGCCCCTGGTGCTGGGACAAAACCTGGTCCTGGCTGCTGTGGGGCCAAGGACTTCAGTGCCCAGTGCCCCTGGCTCCTGTTACCTGTTGCTTCTTTTCTGGGTAGAGCACAAAACCTGTCACCAGGCACTCAACCCGGCACACTGGGGGTCACTGAGCCACCACATGTTATTTAGACTTTGAAGGTAATAGTAATAACAACACCATCACGCTCTGAAAGGCGTTTTGTAGCTCCCCATGGGAGAGCTGCAATTCAGTGGTGACCAGGAAAGCTCCTTCTGAGCCTTTCTCTGGGCAGGACCCTCACTTCCTACAACTGCAAAACATTTAGGATGTCAAAACAATCACCTCCATGCGCACTGCAGAGAACAGCCAACTCATTCCACTTGTCTCAGGCAGGCAGAGCCAAGCCTAACCCAGCTGAGCAGGAAGGCTGTGACAGAACAAAACTACGCCACTAAAAATAAAAAGATGCACTTTTTTCCCCCATAAAATCCATATCAAGCACTGAAAAAAAGCAAAAAATATTGTTTTACAGGGTGCAACAATTTTGCAACCATTGACCAAAAAAAAAGTAAAGGAGCTTTAGGATATATTTTCTAGATTTTGTTCCTTATGTCAGAACTTTTGATGTAACATTTAAGTATCCTTCCCATTAGAGAAAGTTCAAACATTTGCATACATAAGTATTTAGAAACGCTCTCCAGCCCCTGTACATGATGAGTAATGTCATATGTCAAGTACAGGATCACATGGATTACTGTAGATGTAAATATTTTAAACCCAAAATTATGTATCTTTATTTTATTAAAAAATCCATATATGCATGTCTTTATCAAAGCATGATCATGACAGTTTTATATTTTGAAATAATAGTGACTGGACTTTACTGAATGTTTATGATTACGTGTTGTGCCTACATACACATCACAGGCAAACACATGTGTTTGCATGCATGTATTATATGAAGCCATTTTGGCTTACTCTGATTCAGAGAAGATTTTTGTACTGCAAATGATATCACATTTTCATGCCAAAGTGAAAAAGAAATTAAAAGCTTTTAGATCTGAGTGCCAGGTGTCTGGAAGCACCTACTAGAAGAAGGCAACTCTGGTTATAGCTAACATCATATTTGTACTCCCTTCCTTTCACATATAAAAGTCTCATTTTTTAAAATGAGTTTCCACAAGCAGCCAACTTCTCCTCCCAACAGAAAAATGGCACGAAGACAAAATAAAGACACTGCCCTACCAGCTTCTTAAGTCTCCTTCCAGTAAACACAACAAAGCCTTACAGTATCTTTCGAAGTCCCCAGCTTCTTCAGCCCATCCAGAGGGAGGAGATCTGCAGAATCCTTGTGAATAAACTGAACCGCCTGCTTCATCCTCCTCTGCTGGCGGAGAGACGCCGCTTCCCTTATCTCCACTTCTTTTCTGCTCGGCTCTGTCAGGATACCCGAATAAAACATCTTTGCGCCCGCGTATGGCTCGCTCCCTGAAGATGCGCCGCTCGCAGAGATGGAGCCGGGGAGATGCTTTATCGGCCGCTCTTTATATCCGGAGCCTGGTGACGTTTGGAGACCGGCAGGTGCTCGGGCCGGCGCCGAGGGAAGGAGGGGTTGGGCACATCGCAGTACGCTGCACAAACAACGCCGGGGGAGATCAGGCTCGGTCTAAGGGAATAAATCGGCGCCGTTCCTCCCCGCTGCCTCTCCGGAAAGCACGATGAGGCACAGGCGTTCGACGGCTCTCAAAAGTCCTCCAGCAGCCTCCTGGACAGAAAGGAGCACCGGCATGGGGCTTCGAGAGCTGCAAACAGCCCCAGGAGCCAGCACACCTCCCAGGCAGCCCCTGCAGGCGCGGCTGCTGTCTGCAGTGTCAGACAGGTGACGGCTGCCCAGCACCCATGAGGTCCTGGGTGCCGCTGCCCCCCAGGGCTGGGGGGTCTGCAGAGTCAGACGGGTGACGGCTGCCCAGCACCCATGAGGTCCTGGGTGCCGCTGCCCCCCGGGGCTGGGGGGATGCAGCCCCACAGAGACTGTGCAACTGGCCATGCTGAGCTTTGCTGCCTTACCCCTGGGGCTGGAAGGGTCAGGGCAGGCTCTGGATGCCCCTGGCCTCACCAGAGCGTTGCTGGCACTGATCTGCATCATCACTGTCTACTCAAGTCCCCAGGCAGACTGTCGCAAAAATTGTCCCAGCCAAATTGGAGAGCCTTAAATGTGGTTTTTCACAGGATTTCTACCCCCATCAAATATTCAGGTGCAGCATAATTTGACTAATCATTAGCATTCCCACTACTGATCATGAATCAGCTTTGCAAAGCAGCTAGTTTTGCAGCTTTCTTACTGCTTGTCTAATGATCCAGATGTCGCTGGAGTCAGTCTTGCTCTAGTTACTTATCTCTGAAACACCCCCAGCACTTTCTTGGATCAAAGACATGTTAGAGGATGATGATGCTGGCATTGCCACGGCTGTCCAGGGGTATCATTATCCTTCATGGGCAACTCTAGGCTCCCAAGAAGCAAAGTCCTTATTTCTAGGACCAGGCTGTCCTTTAACTTGTTTTACTTAAAGCAATAACTTGAACAATACTGCAGTCTCCAGTAAAATTCTACTACCTCTTTACATTACAGCATGCAACGTGAACTGATATACATTAACAACTAAATACACTTTCATACTAAAAAGACTGATTGATATAATAGTGAGAGAAGGAATATTTCTTAACAGCACATGTAGATTTCTTCCACTACAACAGTGAGTGAAGGCAGCAGGTGCTCACCTGGACTTTCTGCCTTCCAAGCAATTTGTTGCAGGGAACAGGTGCAGAAAAAATGCAGCTATGCCTCAGATAGATAGTACAGATCTGGAAACAATCCACGTGGGTTTACATCTTGTTAAACTAAGAGAAAACTTTGATGCACTAGGTAAAGCACGAGAAAAGCAGAGCTTAGCCCAGGATTTATGCCAAGTTTGACTTCCAAGGCTCTTCTACCTTTGTGAGGAACTGGGGCATTTACCCAGTTATGCTCTTCCCCACCAGCAGAGCCTGGACTCACACTGTCCATCATCAAGACACCACCAGTCTTTGGCCAGCTTCAGGGAACCACTCCTGTCACTGACAGGAAAGGGAGACCAGGGAAAAATATTTTGGAAGGAGACCCAAAGTAACACGGAACACAGAGAGGGAAAACAGGGGTTCCCTTGAAAGCAGCCAGGGAAAGACATTCCCTTTGCAGCAACTGAGGTATGTGGAAAACTAAATGAATGAAAGCAATGAGAACAGTAAGAAGGCAGAGTTGCTTTAAACCGCAGCACCAGTTTCTCCTTCCTCCCTTCCCTGCGAGCTGCTGCCAAGCTCTGAGCAGGGAGGGGGCCAGGAAGGATCCAGCCCCAGCAGCCAGGAGCTGCAACTGGCCCTGCTCACCTTCACCCAGCCCCAACAGCACAGACCAACCTCCTATTGCTTTAGCTCAGCGCATTTCAAGTGTAAATCTTATGAGATATGAACACACATGAACACAGTGGTCCCTTTGCAGGAGGATCTCTGACAGCAGCGCCCACACCACTGGCACCCCAAAGTTCCCACTCCTGGCATGGGGAGTGGGGCTGTCACTGAGCAGGGCTGATGCCAGCTGCTGTGGTGATGCCAAAACAGCAACACTCTGTGGGTAAACTTATACATCTGAGCTCTGCAGCCATGGACAGGCTGTGTATGTCTGGCCCTTCCTCACATGACCTGGAAGAGAGGGGGAAAAAATCAGATGAGGATGCAGAATGCCATAAAACCTGAGCCCTTTATTTCACAGCCTCACATAAAGACCATTACGCATGAGCCAGGCCAAGCTCAGTGAAGATGTCAGCATGCAGAAGGATAACAGGGCTGACATCTGAAGAGATAATTTTTATTCCCCATGCTGACTCAGCCTCATTACCTGACAGGACCATTGTTCCGCTATGGGCACACATAGCCAGGAGGATAAAAGCACCTTATTTTTCACCTTGGGAGCTATCTGGCACTCTTCCAGTTGATTAAATAAAGATATATGACTACATCCACATTCTCCTGAAGGCAAGGAGGCACAGAAGGAAGCAGAAGGGCTGCTACTGAAACCAGGAGGCAATTTTTAATATAAAAGCTCCATGGAGTAGCAGCACTTTACCTGAGGTACTAGCAAATGCCCAGTCAGCTCTGGCTTATGGCAAAAAGAGTAAAGCTTCAAGCACAAGTGGAGCATGAAAAGCTCCCTCACACAGCAGCTCCGAGGCTGCAGCCTGCATTTCCATTCAGCACACAAGCATTTTGTCTGAGCCCTGCAATTTCACTTCTACTCTATGGGATAAATGTACCCTATGACAACAGATCAGAAGAAAATCTGCTCAGTGCTCAAGAGTGACAAATGAGATAAAGGCCTAATTCCCCTCTTGATTTTTAATCCTGTGCAAGAGGAAAGTAGAAGCAGCAGTAAGTTATCTGCCCAAATTATGCAGGATTCACACTGAAACAGGGGTTCAGTTTAGAGACCTCAAACCCAGTGGTTTACTTCCAAATTGGTCATTTGTTTGCAACAGATTAGCCAGTACCATTTCTCTCCCTCCCCATATGACGTGTCTAAATAGGGGCACATTTCAGAAAAATTGCCATCCACTCACTGGAAACAGGCCTGTGCATGATGACTGTCCCTCACTCAAGAAAAGCTTCAAGGAACAAAACCACTTTTCTTGCTCTTTCCTGCCTTCAGAGCAGCATGGAGCATCCCTCTGCAACTCCAAACGAGGCCAGCGTCAAAAGAAGCTTCACAGTGATGCGATGGAGCCTGGGATTTGGCCCTGCCCTCCAGGACAGGCTGGCTCTGCTGGAAAGCTGAGATGCTGGTTGCTGCCAGCACGGATGGGTGGCACACATTGCCAGACACTGGAGGCAGGTGGCCCTGCAGGTACCAGCAGAGCTGCAGGTTTGAAGTGAACTCTGTCCTGTGCCCAGGGCATCTGTCGGCCCAGGAAAGCTGAGGACAGAGGTGCTTTTGTCCTCAGTTTTGAAACCCATTGCAAAGAGCAAACAAGGTGAAATGGTGCTTTCCCCGGACTTTCCGACACATCCTTTGCCATCACAGCTGAGGACAGGGAAGGCAGCACCAAAGGGCAGCACAAGCACCCTTGGAGAGAGTGTAGAGGATGCACAACTTTGATGAGCTTATCGGCTGCCCTACCTGGCAGACACAGTGACACCGGTCCTGCCTGCAAACGCAATTTGCTTCACATGTGATGGAGGCTGAGCTAAACCCCAGCTATGTTATACCCCCATTTACAGCCTGTTTATGCTGGCTCAGAACCCAGTCACACTTGCAGCTTAATCAGCACGAGGAAAGAAGAGCTGTGGAGTTTTGTTCACACCCCCATTTCATCTCTCCTCTCGGTGAAGAGGAAAGCAGCGGCAGGCAACACAGGAAGGGGGTCAGTCCCTTTTTTTTCTTTTCCTTGATTTCTCATCTTTCCCTAAAAAGAAGGGATTTGTTAGTGGTTGCCATGCCCTGAAGAAATGCAGAGATGCCCCAGAAAACTCAGAAGAAAGGACAGAGAGGTATAATTTAACAGAAACAGAAGCAGCGGCAGCAGGCAGTAGGTCCAAAAGGAATAATTTACCCCAGCAGAAAGAGAAAACTTTAGAGAAGCAGATTGCAGAGAAAATACTGAAGAGCTCCAGAAAATGAGACCACAATATTTGATGTAGAAAAAGAAGTTATTCTGTCCATCAGTGAATCAGTAAGGGTCAGATCTATTATATTCAGGCATATAACTGAAATAATTTGGAGACTACAAACCAGTCCTTTTCTAAAAAGGTTGGCTGCAAAAAAATCCAGAAGGATTCTTAATCATCATTTGTAGCAAGACAAAGACTACAGATAGAGCTGGACAAATCCTCTAACATAAAAAGGTAGAATCAGTTTGAGATTCCTGAGAGATGTGGCCCATTTCATACAGTAACTCCACGCTCACTTTCTGTATTGCCAGTGCTGACCAAGGGAAAGGATCTCCTGGGCTGGGATATGGGCCCCATCACAAGCACAAGCACCTCATGGACACAACTTTTCCCAGGGCAGCTCTCCCTACTTATCCATGGTGCAGCTCCAACCTCCTTTCCCCTGTTTCCCATGTTCTGTGTGGTGCCTGAGCTGGTGGCAGCAGGCATAGAGCAGGGGCACAGATGACACTGCTTTCAGGAACCAGATACTGTACAGCTTCTCCCAGGAGAATAAACTGCATTTATCTGTCTAGTTCTCTTCATATACAGAAGCAGGAGCTGGATGATAGTTTCAGGAACACAAAAGCTGCACATGTCAAACCAGGAGATTAAAATAGCTAGTCTTGCAAGAGCTCCCTTACCTTTATTTTTCCTGTTTTAAAGAGGCTGAAATGTGCTTCTAAAAAACATTGAAATCATAGGAAGAGTTGGTCAGGAAAACAAATGATGCATTTTCTAGTGCCTTCTACCATGTACCTCAGTGACAACTAACTTCTGTCTAGGAGCTGTTTGTGCCGGATGGAGGTCCTGCCTCTGGAGTTTTCAACCAGCACACTGGTGACTGTGCTGCACTGGGAAAACTGGCTGAGCCCCTTTCAGGACCCACATGAGCCAGGGAAGAAGCTTTGGGTTCCATGTGCCAACAGAGAGGCAGATGAGGGATTTGGGACAGG